GCAGTTTTGTAAAAATCACCATAAATTGTAGAAAAATCGTATGGAGATGTTCAAGTAGTCATTTTAAAGCTAAAAACTTGAACTATTTGCACCTTGTACAGTTTTGAAAACAAAAATGTTTAAGATGCCCAAAACAGTCCGTGAATGGAGTTGAACTTTTCTGATGAAGGCTGTTAGAAAATTTTAGTTATGTTCTTAGTGTTTTAACTTGTATTCCCCCCCTGAAAACTTGAGAAAACATAAAAATGTAGGGGTATGAACTCAACTTAAGTGATTTCAGTAGATGATTGTTGAAGAATGGAAGTGTTCAACCCAAGAACATTTGAAGAATCACTTGAAGATTCGAAGCTCTAACACAAATATAATGGAGTTTGTGTAAGATATCCATGATTTGAGTGGAAATAAGTGAGATAATCATAAAGAGAATGGATTATGATTACTAAATGTGGAGGAAAAAACTCAAGATCAGCCCTTGAATCTCGAATTTCTAGAGAGAGAAAGTGAGAGAGGAAAGAGTTTGATCTTCTTGTGAAATGAGATCAAATGAGAGAAGTGAGGAGAGAGGATGAATATCCAGCTCTCAAAAACGTGGGAAAGAGTGATAATTGAGTGGAAATGACATTGATGTGACCTAGGTAAGGTGGGGAGGTGTGGCTGGTCATAGAGTGGGTGTGGGAGTGGTTGCTTGTGTCATAAGGTAAAGCAAAGTCAACACTCCACCTCTTTGTACTTTACCCACTTGCTTTTATTATTTAAATAAAGATTTTTATGAAAATATGATTAAATTGTGAATATTTAGGGTTTATTATGTTAAAATATGATTTTGGGTGAAAATCCCGCGTTAAAATAATTAGAAACGGGCCTTAAATGCAAAACTATGCGAAAACCGGGAAGAAAGGCATTCCCAGCGAGACCTCTCGGTCCCTAGGCCGAGGTTCGGTCCTTGCTGGGGGCTGTAGCCGGAAATGAAACGAACAGAGGGAAGCGAAAGGGGCGAGGAAGCGAGAGGCGAAGGCGAGAGGGGGGTTCGGTCCGGAGATAAGAGGCGACGCGTCCGACCGAAAGGTGCCGAATGAACAGTGGTGAACAGTACCTTCGGGTTCGGTTCATCCACGGCGAGGTTCGGTTCCTCTTAAGCGGGGTTCGGGTAGTGGTGAACAGTACCTTCGGTTTTGGTTCCTCCTGGGCGAGGTTCGGGTTCGGCTCCTCCTTGCTCTCAGTCCCTAAGAGGACCTTCGGGTCCTAAGAAGCTTCTCTCTTCTCGAGAGGTTTCGGTTCCTAATGTCTCGTTTTCTCGTTTTTACCCCGTTTTAAGCCGTTTTTGACCCGGTTAAGGGTCGGAATGACCCGAATGATTCCAAAAAGTTACGGGAAACTTTTGAGAGAGATTTGGGAGAGATTTCACATACTTGGAGAGATTTAGGAGAGATTTGACATTCTTGGAGAGATTTCTCATACAGAGAGATATTTGAGAGAGATTTCACATACTTAGAGGGATTTGGGAGAGATTTGACATTCTTGGAGAGATTTCTCATACAGAGAGATATTTGAGAGAGATTTCACATACTTAGAGGGATTTGGGAGAGATTTGACATAGAGAGAGATAGAGTGAAAACGATTGAGAGAGGATACCTGTGTGACAATTGTGAGTGTCCGGCATCGCAATGCATGGTTCGTAAACCCTGTTAAGCCTTGTTTAAGGATCTTACACACTCCCGATGAGTATGCATCATTGTTTTATCGGTTTGGCTCGCCACGTACTACAGTTTTAGGTTAAGGAGATCTAGATGTTCGCACTTTTTGTTTTATGATTTCTCATTAGAATAGAAGTTATGTAGAAGTTTCATAGTGTGAATTTTAGTACTCATGGGCAAATTGAGTCAAACGGTTTGACTTGCTGACTTTAGTTGACTTTGACTTGACCGAAATTTGACGGTTGTCACAAAACACAAGGTCTACTATGGAAGCTGAATTTGTAGCCTTAGATAAAGCTGTTGAAGAAACATAATGGCTTCAAGGATTTTTACAAGGTATTCCTTGGGTGACGAAACCTGTCTTTGCAATTTGTCTTCATTGTGATAATATAGCGGCTATTTCAAGAGCCAAGAATCAAATATATAATGGCAAATCAAGACATATCAGATGGCGTCATAAATTTATTCGTGACTTGCTAAAAGATGGAGTTATTTCCATTGATTATGTAAAGTCAAAGGAAAATATTGTTGGTCCTTTGACAAAGGGCGTAAATTGAGAGCAAGTTTTGTTTACATCGAGGGGAATAGGCTTAAAGCCAACACAATGAGTTATCACTTGGTGACAACCTAACCTAGCAACATTAGAGATCCCATGGTCTAGGATTAATAGGCAAACTAGTTAATGAAAACTCAAGTTAGTACACACAGGTATCTATGCTCGTTAATATTAATATTTACGTATGTTTCAATAGATGTTTTTAGAGATGATTTTATTCTTAATGATATTGATAGCTTACTAGGGGAAGCTTGTGGAATTTTCCAGATTAGCATCGCCTATATATGAGATTGATGTGCGGTCGCATCTATGAAGATAATTATGGCTACATCTTCTAAGGATCTCATGAAGTAGGATTTGTTCAAGACCGAAATCAACGCAACCGTAAGAATTGAAACATGTTTAGATATGATATGCGTGATATGTATTGTTTAGATTACTATTTCTAGTTAATATTCACTAAGTAATTCCGATATGTACTCACTATGAAAAGCTCCAGTTCAAAAGACACTTTTTCCTATGCATCTTATATCTTGTTTTTATGGAATTGTATTACTTATTTTCTATTCAAATGTGGGGGATTATATTCAGTTTAAATCGAAAATGTGAGGGATTGTTGGTGTTTATATAATTTTGTCAAAGTTTCTTATCCCACATAGGAAGGAACATCAAACATTGGGATGTTTAAAAGACATGCTCTCTTAGTTCTACTACAATGGATTATGAACTTAAGGTGGGATAGTGTAGCCTTGTAGGCTTTGAATTACTAGTGGACTACTAATAATTTAATTATATATTAAATGGTCAAAAGATGGTCTTGGGCTTGGGGTCTTATGAGATAAATTTGAAATTAGTTATTATTATTATTATTATTGATTTTCGGTTTTATTCAGATAAGATTAGTTTTGAGAAGTTATCAAAACTGAATTTTGACAGTTTCATGTCGATCCTATTTATTAGAGTCAAATCTGATTTGTCGGGTTTCTTAAAAAAACGAACGACCAAACAAATTGCAAGTCTCAGTAGTTGTCATTGTTTCTGATGATAAGCTTTTGAAGCATATGTTAATATTTGATTCTCTTCTAGGTAACCTTTCTATCAAATTAGCAAATACCCCTTAATCGTCAAAGAATGATTAAGTTTAAAAAATATTAGTTATAGTCTATATAACAATAATTTACTCGAATTCGGTCAGGTAAACAACTTTTATCAATGTTTATGTAATAATTTTAGGGAAAATTGTCAAGTATCATTGTTTTAAACGTCTTAGTGATTTTGTGTTTACATAGATTTGGGGACGGGGATAGGTTTTTCATATGTATAGGTTGTACTGAGTATTTAAATTATAAGACACTTAAATTTGTGAAACTTATATTCAGGAACTAGAAATAAAAGTTGAAAAATCCAGATAATCCCATATCAACATTCAACATATTTGACAATATTTGAGGTATAAAAGCTATAACTTTTTTTAGTAACTTCCAATTCAACTTTCATTTTTTTCTTATTATAACATTGTATTTTTTACATATGGAAAACAATTTTTATTGCCATAAAGTACGTAGTTTTTTTTTAAGTTAACATTAAATCTATAAAATGTTCATTTGAAAAAGGATAAAAAAGCCATTAGTTTTCATGATGTATGAAAACAATAGTTACTCTAGAATTTAAAAGTATAATGTCTTGATAAGAAACAAAAGAAAATACAATGTTGTAAGTGGGTAAGTCTTTCAAAGTACAATATTCCATTAAGTTATTTAAATTTATTGCATGACGAAACGAATATTATTTTTTTGTAGTTCCACCGGTGCTGCTCTTCCTGCTATACAATGGCCTGTTACTAATTTCAACATTCATGATCTACGCATGAGGATTATTTTGAAACTAGCGTTTATTTATTTATTTTGTGTAATGGCAACATCATTTATTGTTTTTATAATACATATAATGATATAAATAATGTGCTATATCTTTATCCTAATTATAGTGACTTGCTGTCAAGAAGCTTATGGATTACCAATATGGGGTCTCACTCTAAAAACTACAATATTGTGTTAAAATTATACAAAGCTAAAAATTATGGGGATTTTCAATTCTCATTATTTATTTTTATTTTTTTCCTCTAAATATTTGAAATTACAATGTTATTTTTAAGTCGTTCTTAGCCCATTTAATTTTTATTTGTAGGTTATCACTTCACTATTAAGTATAACGGTGAACTCATATCATTTTTGGCTACTTCTATCATCAACAAGTTGATAACTTTTCATTATATCACATGGGTTTTAATAATTATACCACTTATTAAAACCCATAACAATTGAGTATTAGATTATTCTGCATTTTGGGACTTCATGAAAATTTTAAAGTTTGATTTTGCAAGTAGGTCGTTCGGAAACTAATGTCGTTTAGATGTGTAAGGCCATGTTTGATCTTAACTATATTGTATAAATTTGTTGAAGACATAAAATATATTGAATATTTGGAAGGTTAAAATGACCATTTAGTTTTATTCAAACTTTTTGTTGGGTTATAACAAAGAAGAAATTTATGTCAATTCAACATTTTGACTTTTTACTTTATAAATCCATAACCGAAATTTTCTTTGACGCCGAGGCGATGGGAACTCCAACAAATCAGTTGTGGGCCTTGTGCTTTTTACTTATAAAAAGAAAAGTATTAAATGTCATGAAATCTAGTCCATGGCCCAATTGGACCCACATCACTTGATGAGTCATGAGAGTGAGTTCATGGTGACGCAATTAAAACGGCGCCTGAATTTTTGTATGGCGAGAAAAGAGAAACACGCAGCAAAATACCACTTTTCCCGCCACTGCTCCGCCGATGATTCACTCATCGACTCCGCCGGTCTCCCCCAAAACCAACACCACAACCGCCGTCCAGATCTGGAATTAATCTCCCTTCCTTCATCCAGTTGTTCTTCAATCATCGAGAAGGAGAATTTCGAGATTCATTACTTTGTGATCCTTTGATGATCACCGTTACGCCTTCTCCGATCGGTTTTATGACGCCTCCAAACGATCGATTTTCTGATGCCTTCTTCTATATATTTTTGATCTCTGGATTTATCTCCGGGCTGTAGCAGGTTCGATTGGAGCCTTTGTCTATCATCAGCTGTTGTATCAGGTGCCCTTTCAGGTATATGCTTATATCTATAGGTTGTAGCGGATCCTTCATTGATGTACATGGATATTGATCTAAATTTAGACAATGAAGATGCATATAATTTAGCTTGCAAATGGGAATATATCAAAGTAAATTTTGCAGAAATTATGAAAAGAGAGGTCGAGAAGGTGAAAATGGAGGCCCGAAGGGGAGTAGTGTGGTTGTAACTCGGGGATCTTGACATTGATGATGACGTAGTTCTCTCCTCTGATTTTCAGGCAACAGTTTTGCGTTTAGCTGGACTTAATCGCATTTAGTCTGCGCAACAACAAACTTAAGGTCCCCGAGGCAATTACCAAGGAAATCGTGAAGTTCAAACAACTTAGAGCTCTCTGTATAAACGATAGTCCAATCCTACAGAATTTGTAAGTTTCTGTTTTGCATATAAGATCTATTTGCTAATATTTTTTAACTCATAGCATTGAAAATCCAATCATACAGAGTTTGTAAGTTTCTCTTTAGCACATCACACATCAATAATACCAAAGGAATCCGCTATGAATATTGAACAAGAATTGGCATTTAAGAGCAAACTGCACCACTCGTTAGAAGTACTGAATGTCATAACTATAGATACACATGTATCAGCTATCCGAAAGAAAGACAAGACAAAAAAAAAGAGGAACAAGATTTTAAATCACAAGGAAATGGAACACGATTGGCCAACAACAACCACAATCCTTAATGTATAGGCAAAAATTGAGTATTACGACTTACAAATCTAATGTTGGATTAGTTAACAAGTATAAGCTTCACGTGTATAAAACCTATGTATATGAGGAATCGGGGGTCGTCTTAATGATGTCTGAATTCTGATGTGGTTGTTACAGGGAGTTTTTGGTATGTGATGATAATGGCCTCTAGAGCAATTTTAAGGCAGAGACACCTTCTTCTTCCCAATTACCTCTATCATGTCTCTGTTACTTCATTCTCCACCAAGTACTCAGGGGTGGGTTATGATCCTCTTAAAGCCTTATTGTTGGACAACAAAAAGAAGCAAGATGTTGCATGGAATGAAAAAGTAGGACATATGAGGATATGGCAATCTATACATTATACCACCACCACTACTACTACTACTACCACAAGTGCAACAGATGATAATAATAAGAAAAAGAGAAAAAAAGAAGCATCCCCTGAAGAATGCGATCAAGCTGTTGAGGGCTTAAGCAGTGCCAAGGCTAAAGCAAAAACCAAAAAAGTGAAAGAAGCAAAATCCATTTTCCACAGAACTTGTGGTGTGTTATCGGGTATTCGTCCAGCTTTAAGAGCTGTGGCTTCCATGAGCAGGTAACTTTTCCTGTTAAAATTCCAACAAGTGTTTGTGTTTGTGTTTGTGTAAGTCTCATTTGTTCTTTGACTTTGTATTGAGAAGGGAAGATTGGGGTAAGAAAATGAGTCACTGGAAAAATGAATTTGTATCAAGCATGAAGCATTATTGGTTGGGGATTAAGCTTCTTGGTGCTGATGTGAGGATCAGTTCCAGAATGCTTCTAAAGCTTGCCAATGGAAAGAGTCTCTCAAGGAGAGAGAGACAACAACTCACACGAACCACTGCAGATATCTTTAGACTTGTTCCTGTTGCTGTTTTTATCATCGTACCTTTCATGGAGTTTTTGCTTCCAGTATTCTTGAAAGTATTCCCCAATATGTTACCTTCTACTTTTCAGGACAAGATGAAAGAACAGGTATCTTAATTGCTTCAACTACCTACACCTACTCTTCTAAACCTCTTCAAAGTTTTTCTTTTTATGGAGGATTTTTATTGGCGTTTGATGTTTGTTGTAGGAAGCATTGAAAAGAAAGCTAAATGCAAGAATAGAATACGCAAAGTTTCTTCAAGATACAGTTAAAGAGATGGCAAAAGAGATCCAAAACAGCAGGAGTGGAGAAGTTAAGAAAACAGCAGAGGATCTTGATGAATTTCTTAGCAAGGCAAGAGTGTTGTAGTAATCACCACTTCCAAAGTATATGCTTCTTTTATTTACAAATTTACAATGTGATGATGATACATACAGGCCAGAACAGGTGCTGTTGTTTCCAATGAGGAAATATTGGGATTTGCAAAGCTATTCAATGATGAACTTACACTTGATAATATCAGCAGGTTGAGCTTTCAACCTTTCTTGTATATAATTATAATATATCAATGTTTCCTTTTTTAACCCTGATGTGTTGTTGATTAGGCCTCGTTTAGTGAATATGTGCAAGTATATGGGAATCCAACCTTATGGGACAGATGCTTACTTGCGATACATGCTTCGCAAAAGATTGAGATGGTGAGCTTTCTTTCTTATTTGATATATACATAAATAAATTTGTAGTAAAGCTACACTGTTTTACCATTTTATGAAATCATGTTTCAGTTGTAGTGTCATTGCATTGCAATTACAATGAGGGTTTGGTTTGTAGGATAAAGAGTGATGATAAGATGATTGAAGCAGAGGGTGGTGTTGATGCTCTGACTGATGATGAGGTTCGTGAAGATTGTAGAGAGAGAGGCATGGTTGGATTACTCACTGTGGAGGAAATGCGTTACCAGGTTTCATTTCAAATTTCATGTTTGAAAATATATTTTGGTAAGCAGACTGAAAATTAAATTATCATTTGCATGGAAAAAAAAATCAACACACAAGAACATTAAGCAATTTCTGTTTATGGAATAGGTTAATGAGTGTTATATAATCAAAATCCATTGAGAAATTTTGTTTTATGAATGTTTTGCAGCTGCGTGATTGGTTGGATTTATCTCTTAATCACTCTGTTCCATCTTCACTCCTCATCCTTTCCAGGTTATAATAACAATAAATAATATTTTTAGTAGAACCGAGATTCCATCATGAAAAGAAGAATATAATTATTGTAGTGGAAGGATGCTTAATAGGGATTTGTATGATTTTTTCTTTTTGCAGATCTTTCACTGTATCTGGAAAGTTAAAGCCTGAGGAAGTTGTCAGAGCTGCATTGTCTTCATTACCAGATGAAGTTGTGGACACTGTTGGTGTCACCTCATTGCCATCTGAGGATTCTGTTTCAGAAAGAAAGAGAAAACTCGAGTTTCTTGAAATGCAAGAGGAACTCATCAAGGTTACAATCTAATCAGTAATCTCTTCTGAAATGAAATAGAAATACCCATGTTATGAATTTTGGTAAAGGAGTGTATGTTGAGATTGGGATCCTAAAGAATCATTGATATTACTTGCAATTGCATTATAGGAAGAAGAAGAGAAAGAGGAAGAGGTGCAAGCGAAGAAGAAGGAATCAGTTGGAATTGAGAAAGACGTGACATCATTAAAAGAGGAGATGATTAGCATAACAGCCTCAGAAGCACAGGAAGAGGCAAGATCAAGAGCATTAGAAAAACAAGAGCAGCTGTGTAAAGTCAGTGAAGCTTTGGCTGTATTAGCTTCTGCATCTGTAAGGATAATATAAAGGAGAAACAATTTGATTTTAAATTGTGCCATTTTTTTCTTGTGATTTAATTACATTTGTGGTGTTAATTTGTGCAGTCTGTGAGCAGGGAGAGAGAAGAGTTTCTGATGCTTGTCAACAAAGAGGTTTATATAATAATAGAATGTGTGATAGTGATTAGTGAAGTATAGAAAGAATAGAGTTATTAATTAGTTTTGTGTTACTGTGTTTTGGTTGCAGATAAATTTTTATCATAGTATGATGGAGAAAGAGGGAATTGATAGCAGAAAAGAGGCGATGGAGGCATATAGAGCTGCACGCATGGAAAGTGAAGATTCAACTACTGATGAACAACCTGTAGCTGATGAGGTGTCTTCAGCCCTCATAAACAGGGTACGTAACTAACAAGACATTTATGATTTATCTCCCTTTGATCTTCAACAGTCATCACACAAGGCTTGCTTTATTATTATTAGGTTGATGCGATGCTCCAAAATCTTGAGAAAGAAATTGATGACGTGGATGCAAAGATCGGTGATCGTTGGCGAGTGCTTGACAGGTATGCTGTTTACATTTCATTATAATTTGTGACATATTTATGACATTTTGGCTTATTACTTTAGAGATTATGATGGAAAAGTGACTCCAGAGGAAGTGGCATCTGCAGCCATATACTTGAAAGATACTTTAGGGAAGGAAGGGGTTCAGGAGCTTATCACCAACCTTTCCAAAGATAAAGGTGATCCATCCCCATCTTAACTTTCTTTTCATACCCAAACAACTTAACTTGTTTTGGTATTGGTATGTGAATGACAGAGGGGAAGATTCTTGTTGAAGACATAGTGAAATTGGGCAGTCGGGCAGAAGATGCTGACTGACTGATTGATTGATCTCAATTCTCTCAACAACCACGTATATAGATGAGATGAGATGAATAATGGTATTTGTATTCTTCTGTTTGATTTTACTTTTGTAACTAACTAGTACATGTATGACTTCCAATACCTTTTTTTTTTTTTTTTGTAGCCAGATTGTGAGGCTAGCTCGCTGAGCTGAGTGGCATAGGCTTTGAGGTGTGAAAGTCTATCTATAACTTTCTCTAGGCACTGAAAATTTTGTTGCTTCTGTTGAATCATATGTCAATAACAGAGTTATGAAGCTTGGGCATCTTTTTTGCTCATCGTGTTCACCCTGCCTATGAATCGGGTATACCTTTTTATTGTTTTTTTTACATCAATAACAATTATTTATTTATTTATTTAGTTTTAAATTTTTGCACACCCAAGAGAATGTGTTGTGTTACTGGTAGTAGAAGAAATGCAAAATCTTTACAGCCTCATTTAGATAGATTGTATAAACTTCTCTCCTAATTCTTACAAACCTTCTTCATGCTTCTTTATTTGTAAGTTTGCTGGTTTTGGAATTTTGGGTTTCAATTTGTGGTGCTTTATTGACTACAAGGACATTAACAGATGCTTGTTTTGTGGAAGGAATGAAATATATCTAATAATTTAAATATTAAGGAATCATAAACCATAATGTGCTTGGTTGAAGCAAAATAGAGCTGATTTCATTATCAAATCCTGAATGATTTTGTAGACTTTTTCATGTCTTTATTTTTTTACAAGAACTTGAGGAAATCATGGATGTCATTTGACCGTTTGCAATGGTTTTAACCGTCTAGAATGTGCATTCAAAGTTCTCCCATAATCCTCATATGGATAAATAATACGGAGCTAACGGTGCTAAAGCCAACTAAGTTAACTTATGAGTTCAAATAATAATTTAATTCTTTTCAAGGCTTCCAAACACATATAGCTTTAATTTCATCTATCCCATTTCATTGGATTAAACATTTTTGTCAATATTTTCGCTTGATATCATGTCAATCCTCATTTGATTGGATTAAACATTTTTGTGAATATTCACTTGATATCATGTCATTCCGATATTTATAATCTTCTGTAATTTATAAATAGTATATCGATACATGTTTATGCCAAACTAAAAAGTTTATTATTTTTTAGGTTGAAAAATCTTTTGATTTCATTTATTATGATTTAGTTTAAGTTTTTTTTGGATTACCAAACTATTCGGTTTCGGTTTTTATGGTTTAGTTTTAGTTTATTTGGTTTGAAAACTATTCAATTTCGTTTTTGTTTGTGTTGAAAAATCCAACTATTTTATTTGAAAATGCAACATTCATACAAATATACGGATCATTTTGATAATTTAGTATAAAAAATATTAAACTTTTATTGGGACCAGTTTGGTTCCGTTTTCTATCTTTTTTTCCATAAAAAAACCCACTCATAAAACTTAAAACTTCATTTTTTCAAAAACAAAAAATCATTTGTAAAAACTCACCCTATATATATTAAAAAAAACCTTTGTGAGAACAAATAAGCCATTAAAAAAAATCAACAAAAATGCTACCTTTAACAAAGTTTTTTTTAATTTGAACAAAAATACTATATTTTGACAATAATTTGGTTTGACCACTAGTTTTTAAAATTAACATAAATAGAATTTAAAGATCCTATAAAACTTTTATTAAAAAATAAATTGTTTTTTAATACAATTTCAACCTAAACGATTAAACCAAAAAATAACAATGGTTTTTTTATTTTGTTTGTTATCTATTTACTATTTTATCAGTCTTTAAGTATAAAAAGCACCTTGTAAAAGCTAACCTTAAAAAAAAAATCTGTAGACGAAATAAGGAAATAAAATATGTTACCGTTGCGTTGCCCACGTAAACCGCCCTCAGAAACCTACATATATCCACCACCACCACATCAATCGGCACTCCCTTCCTTCTTCTCCAACACCATGAAACGTCTCTTCAACCAATGTCTGTGTTTTCCATATTCTGTTTTTTCGTCTGTCACTCCTCTTCTTCTTGATTCTTCTTTGATATAGATCTTTTCGAAGGGTTTTCATTTTTTTTTTTTCTACTTTAAAATTAGGGTTTTTGAGTTTCTTGGTTTTCAGTTTTGAAAGGCAAAGGTTCCTTATACAAAAGTTTCCTATGTGAAAATTAGGGTTTTCGAATTCTTGATTATAAGTTTCTTGTTTTTCATCATGTTCTTCATGTAGAACAGAGATAATCTTCGAATCTTTTGGTTTTATCAAATTGCAGTTCTTTTGGCTAGTCCATTGATCACGTTCTCGATCCTGCTTAAGTTTATTGCTCGACATTCTTGTCGAACTATTTAGAACTAAGTAGATACAGAGCGAATCATAGTGATCTTTTGATTTTATTCATTTAAACTTCTTTTTTATGTTCCTTTCCTGTGATAATGAAAGTTGTTACGAGTTTTTTCTGAGTTATTCCTTCTTATGTTATTAAATGTTTGAGGTATCCCTATAACTTTTTCAATATTTTATGCAATCAGTCCTCATCGCCTTCTTATTTGGATATTAAAGTTCAGTGTTCTTATCTGTCCACATTATTTACTTTCTTGGAATTTTTTTTTTTTTAAAATCTGTTATTGTAATCAAGAATTTGAACTCTGTTGATAACAATCTTTTGGTGACAATGGACCTTTTTTAGGTTGCTGAAGTAAAAACAAAAGATAGCAGTGTAATGAACTTTTTCCTTTAGTAACTTTCTTTTATGAATCTTAATGTCATTCGTTTTTTCTACAGTTGCTTTAATGAAGGAAAATACACATATGTTTACTGAAGTTCAGCTCATGTCAACAGATGCTTGGTGGTAATATGCAGTTTATCTGGTTTGTGCATTCTTATGCATCATCCCCTTTCTATTTTATACCTTTTACATTTATATGCAAAATTCATATTCTTTAAATGGCTTAACTATCCTATATTAATATAAATTCATTTGTTTGATAAAACTTTGGATTTATTCATTAATATAATTTCAACATTCAAGTATTTGTCTACCTTATATTGTTCTTGACGCTTGAGATCAAATTATAAGGCATTTGATGTGTTGGTTTATATATTTTTAGACATCAATTGTTTCTTCCTTTTACAAAATCAATAAATTAATAATTTCACCTAACCATTACCTTTTTGATAGATCTTGAGCACTTATCCTGCTCATCTTGTGGTTGGAATGTATGCCTTTTTATTTTAATAGTTTTTAGTTTCTTTTTACAAAAATAAGAAGTTACTTATAAACAGTCCTCTTTTTGATCATGATGCCATTGTTATTTGAAAGGAGTCATAGATGCATGTAAAAGTTGCTTCTTAAGTAAGGTAATAAAACTAGTGATTTCATCATGCTTTTTTAGACTTCAAAAGATGTTTTTGACAATTTCCATAAACATTTTTTTTATTAAATATCTTAAACCATTTCTCTTCTTCCTTTCAGGTACAAAAAGAATGTAGATTATGGTTCATTGTATTTGTATCATCTCCAAACAGATCAAACACAGGTAAAACATCATAAAAGATGTTTCTTATATATATATATATATATATATATATATATATATATATAATGAGACTAAATGACCATTTTATCTACATTTCTATAAGCAAATTTCACAACATTCATTAATTTCAACAATATTTACATTTACTTCTTGATAAAATTAATTTTATGTAAATGGATTATCTATCCCATATAAATATATCTTCATCTGTTTTATAACTTTTTAGATTTGTTTATCAGGAAGCAAGTCCAAGAAATGTCTCTTCAACCATGTCTGATTTTCATATCTTGTTTTTATCATCTGTCCATTATCTTGTTCTTGAATGTTTTTTTTTTCAAAGGGTTTTGATTTTTGCATGACAGAGGTTATCATTTCTTATTTTTCATCACGTTCATTTTATTCATAGATAATTTTAGAATCTTTTGGTTTTATTTATTTGTAATTGTTTTTGATAGTTGATTGATCATGCTCTTTGTTGTTCTTAAGTTCATCATCTTCATCAGTCATTTAGAACAAAGAAGATACAAAATGCAAGATGTATTAGTTTTTTTCTTATCAAAGCATTTCACTTTAAAAAGCTTATAAGTTATAGGATTATACTCTCAGATTTCTTATTATAAGCGCATTACCTTTTCAAAAATCAACCTTCAATTTTTTTTTATCATCAAGGCATTTTATGTTGACAAATTCACCAATTAAGTTTTATTATTATAAGCTCATTTCCCTTTGAAAAATCAACCCATTTATATCATTGCACTTTGTTTGTTGAATTGTTGTAGCATTAGAAATAAAGGGATATTAATGTCATTTACTCATTTATATTATTATTACTACTTTTACTTCTCTTCAATGATATCAACCCGTTTATATCATTGCACTTTGTTTCTTCCCCTTAAATTTATGTTTATGTGGATGAGCTAGTTAGTTCATTCATGCTTTTATACTTTGCCTTCATATTTGAAGATAAAAGTTAGGTTTTCTTGGAACTTATTTCTTTCTTTTGAATCTATTATTGTAATCAAGAAAGAATTTCAACTCTGTTGATAACAATCTGGTGGTGACAATGGAGCCTCTTTTAGGTTGTTGAAGCAAAAACAGATGCTTGGTGTTGATCTGCAGTTTATCTGGTTTGTCCTTTGTTCACCCCTTTCTATTTTATAACTTTTACATTTATATTCTTCCATTTTGATGAGATGTTTGCTCATTGTTGATGTTCAAGTGGGTATTTGTGTCAATTCTCGGTTTTTTAATAAATGTTTGTTGAATATCAGTAATGCTGTAATGGCCTGTTGATTGATCATGCTCTTTATTGAAGCATCTTTCTTTCTAGAATGGTCTTTATGATTATGTTTTTTTTAATCTTTTCTTCCTTTTGATGCCTTAGTTTTTTTCATGTCTTATGTGAACAAATGTTCTGTTCTTGAAGTCTAAGAATATTAATGTTTTGATTATTGTTTCCATTCATGTTAAGAAATTAGCACTGTGAACTGTTTGAACCTCTTATATGTTGTTGTTTTCTTCATTTTCAGGTACAAAATGAATATAAAAAATGTTTTGTATATTTTTTTTTTGTGAATACTCACAAAGAATGAGACCAAAATGACCATTTTACCCTACATTTCTAAAAGCAAATCACAATATTCATTAATTTCAATATTTATCAATTTGAATGTGAGAAGAGTTGGGAGGAAAAAAATGCAAATAGGTGGCTTAACCCATTTAGTCATTCTGACCAATAATATAAGTAAAAAAGAAACAACATTTACAATGTTGTATAGCTTTCCAGATTAAGTGCTTAACTCATTAACCTCTGTATGTAAAAGAGAAACAGCCCTTAACTTTATATTTATCTTTTTTCCTTTTTGAATATGTTTTGTGTTGGACATCATTTGCACCAATGTCG